AGTAATCACATGCTGAATCCGTTCCAGTATGTGTACCTCGCCACGAGTGATCGGACAATGGGCGGATGAACCGTACTCATGATCTTATGATGGAAGACGTGAGCGGCAATCTCTTCAGACAATGTGCAGAAGCTGCGTTTGAGCGCACAGAGCATGCGCAATCCATTTTCGTGTAGCCTGTTCGTTTTGTTCACAGACTACACATAGAAGAAAGAGTGCGCCCAGATCCTTCTCGGATGGTGTGGGATGTAACATACACCCTCCCCCAGGCTCATAAACGACGACTTGGTTGGGTTTATCAGTAGATCGACCTCTGCGATCACAGGGACAGGCGGCCGAGGTCTTGTTGAAGAATGTTGCAGTCTCAGGAGTATCACTTACCCTCCAAATCTTCAGGCCGCTTGCAAACAAAGTACAAGACGACCGAAGAAGCTGGGGTATCTCGTTGGTTCGAATCGGGGACAAAACGGGCCCCAGCACTGCGCCTTGAGGTACACCACTAGTGGAAAGGTACCAGTCTCTCAGATGGTTACCTCTCTAGTGTTGCAGTGAGTCACCAACACCGCACATCCTCAGCTTGTTGCGGAGGTCCTCACTGGTTCACTTTGCCGAACGCTCTACTGAAATCAAGGTATATGACGTCGACTGAATTCCCCCGGTTCAGTGCTTTCAACCATTCATGCCGCGTCAACAGCAGGTTGGTGATACAGGTGCGGCCCTCCATAAATCCGTGCTGCGCGAATGTCAGGTTTATCGACTCCAACAGATGCACCAGGCCCTTTATTACGATCTCGAGTGCTTTGGCCAAAACGTAGGTCAGACGGATCGGCTGGTAATTGGACACCGCCTTTCGGAATCGGTTTCCCCACTGAGCATTTCCAATCGCTTGTCGATGCACCTTCGGACAGAGATCTGTTGAAAGGATCCATCACGGAAGGCGATGTGATGACTGATATGGACTTGAGAACCAGCGGGTGGAGTTCATCGGGACCAGGAACCTTTGTGTCGTCAACACTGGCAAATAGATTGCGGACATCTTCCACATCGTAAACCAAACTCTCGAGTTCAGTAGGGGCTGCACATCATCATCAATACACGTTAGCTGAGGGTAACACACCTCAACAATACCAAAACACATTACAAAAATTTAAATAACGAGTCACCATCATTATACACGTTAGCTAAAGGTGAGAAACATCTCAGCTACTATGTCGCAATACATAAAATGGAAAATATGCAACAGGTGCAAGCCAGCTGAGTGACCGGTAACGGACGGACGTCGTTCCGGTAAGCCACCAACCGGCTACTATGCAGCAAAAAAATCACTATGCAAAATTATATAAGACTAAATAGTGAGATCGTGGTTGGAGGGGGAAACTAAGAGGGATGGGGTGGGACAAAGAAACTCATAGCACGAACGCCACTGGGGTCGGCCAAATAATGAGTAGTGTGATGGCAAATATTATCACATACTAGATATGGAATCGTTCTTGGAGGGGGAATCTAATGGAGGAGATTGACAAGCTAACTCACAACACGAGTGCCATTGGGGCCGGATCTTCACCATACCAGTAAGTGTGTCCAACCAAAAGTGTTCATCGTGCTTGGGACTCCAGCCCGGCAGTCAGGAGACGCCAACTTAGAAGTGAGGGCCTTCATTTCTTTTGACCAAGTCATTGCTTAGCCTCCCCTCGTCTTCCATCCACACCCCCAGCACGCAAACAACACACGACGCGGGAGCCGGTGGGCTGGCATGCGCAACACTTGGCCCAACCATCGGAGCCTGGTACGTGATAAAATGATGCTGAGCGGTCCACCCGCGTTTCATGCACCAAATAGGCGACGCTGAACACATTGCTAACGCGGGGCTCCCACAAGACATGAGCTAAGCTGCGAAGGCAACGTAGTTAGTCTCCTTATGTCTGTCAACGTGATGGGCTGCACACGTTAAGCTTGGTATAGACGTATGCCCACTGTGTGCTGTTAATCTGTCTCTCACTTTCTAGCATGGAGTCCACGCGACACGTACTGTGCCTACATCGAGACGCTACAGAACATAGTTCACAGTCGGCATCAGCGGCGGGTTTGCTGTCGTCTCACAATCGGACTACCTGTTTAAAGTGTCATACTGATTATGAGGCGGGGCAGTGAAAGCCGCATGGAAGTTGTCTCGCCGACACCGCCTTATCCTCGCGCAATAGGCAGCTGTTTTTGAGCGTGTCTTGAGAAGGCGCAGACCCTTTGACACCGAGTGTGTGATTAAAACATTTAAGTTTTACACAGAGCAACCATCCGGATATCGAATTGTACCACCAGCCTCCTCTGCGTCCTTGCGAAGTATTTGCTACACCAGGATATGATATGTGCACTACTGGTTGTCAAGTTCAGCTTGTCCCGATGGGTTGGGATAAGCCGCTTACCTAGGTACATTGCTGGGACACGACTTTAAAGCTCAATTCTGCCTCAACCATTGATACTACTGAGCACATTTGCGTTTCATGTAGCCGCCAACCCTTGAGTTTCTTCCAGATTTTAAATGGATTGGTGTGCGCTGACTCTGCAGCACAGCGAAAACCGTTGGCATGCTCACCGCGAGTGCTCTCCGCGCCAACTTATCTGAACCCTATTACTAAGCAACCGGTTATCGAACCATTTGTACATTGATTGTGATATGATAGTTGACAGGGATTGCAGTGAGCTTGGTAACTATACCTTTTCTCGGCCAATTGCATCCATAGCGCTTTCAAATACTTCGTTAAGGAAATCATGTACCCCCATAAGTCTGTCGAGATGATCCGTAACACTATCAAGCTGAATCCAACGAGAACAAACGCCCCAAAAAGCGAGTATTGTTCGTTCAGCGACTAAGCCCAAATCAGCCGACAGTATAACAAATGATCACACAGAGTGGGGTGCAACCTGTCGATCTGAGATTGATTACTCGATGAACTAGTATTTAGGGGCTATTGCGCCTGTTGGATGTAACTTGATAGCGTTAAGAATCATCTTGAGAGGTATGGAGGAACATGATTCCCGTAAGGAGAAAGTTGAAAGCGCTATAGTGGCAATTGATTGAGAAAAAGTATAGTGCGGTCGGACACCGTGCATCACGTGACCGGGTGGCTGTTCGCATAGCAACCACGCGCGCGCCTGTGGTGTATCATCCCATGCCCGCATGATCGCCTGTCGGTAAGTGGCACTTCGTGGACGCGGAGGAATCACCGCGAATTCGTGACACGCTTAGACAGCGTGTCGTTTTGTGTAAAATGGATTCTGATCGAAACCCAGCGTGTTCTGCTTTTTCGAGGGATTACGCGACAAAGACGGTTGGAGTTTCCGGTTGAAGCTTACGCACAATAGAATACAAAACTCATGGTCAGCATTCCTCATCGCGTCTGGTGCGTCTTGAAATTACTCCCCTTATTTCGGAGCGATAGGGAATCACGGTGGTATACTCCTTGTCGAGAGATAAAATTGACCCGAAACGCCTTCTGCCCAAGCAAATTTAACCGTGCTAAGCAATGGCGCAGATGAATAAAAACACAAATTTACATTGCAGGGATTCCCCGTTATGGTGTACCTGTCAAACCTTCAAGGTTTGAGTGTAAATGATTGATCCTTATTCAGAAAGCGTGCGATGGCTTCATCGTGTTTAACACTGATTTCGACATTGTAACAATCGGTGTGGTGTTGCACATAGACAATTCAGATTTGTGTCTGGTCTGCCGCTTCGCAAGGTGGCGTACGCCTGCTATCCTGCCAATCAGAGGTGGAGTTTCGTGGGGCTGGGAGTTCAGACGCTGGAGTGTAAATGCTTGAGACAGAGGCGTAAGGCGACACTCAAATGACTACCTGAGTAGGGCTGTTCACTTAGAACCGTTTGTTCATTTTCGTCAAACCCGGAAATGACGATGTCAAAACAGGCAATTCGATGGATAAGTGAAAAATTGGACGACATGATCGGTGAGCTTGACGTTTTAGCTGCAAACGTTCTGTCGCCAGTAGAGGTGGCATCATCGGTGCGCTAGCGTGTAGCAGAGTGATACGTAACTAGGTGTGGATTAGGTAACCACGAGCGTACGCTTACACGGGTTATCGTGTGAGAATCTTTACGTTTTCCAGATCGACATGAAGACCTGCTTCATTTTCAAACATACACGAGGATTGGATTACGAGGCAGATAAGGGAATTCTTAGAAGTAGGGCACTCCACGAGCAATTCGATCAATCGTACGTTGGACTGGACGTCATCCACCACCACGGTCGAATACTCCTAATTTAAAGAACACCACATGAACAGCTTAGACAACACTTTCAGCCGCGGAGGCAAGGGAGGCATGGGTCGAAGAGGCCATTTTCAAAGGTCACTTGCCCAAATGACGATGATATATAAAATCACATGCGCTTGCCTACTCGGTCCACAGCTACTTACGCATCGCCCCGCTCCGCTACACACCAACGCCCTGATGATGTCAACTCGACTGGTGACGAAACGTTTGCAGAAAGCCTGTCGAATTCAGCGAATAGTTCGTATAACAAATGAACAACCTGAGCTACCTACATCTACTTTAATTGAAAAGCAAAATATGCACGCGGCATAACACTTTGACAATTCACACCTTCAAGTGAGTTCAGAGATAGGCCAACCGAGTATGTCAAGCCTCTTCTTATCTCCGCACTATTTTATCTTTCGCTCGTCCATGCTAGCTTGGAGTTCCACATTCAAGCGAAACTTGAAAAGAAAAGCCACCCAAGTCCCTTGAGCACCTACGCTTGCATGCTTCGTGTTAAGTAGTTCTACCGGATTCTGCTTGACTTTTCTCAGGGCATTACCTCTCTCTGTAGGTTTTCAAAACGTCAACCCAACTTTTCTCACCTTTGAGCACGTGCCAAGAAGGTATGGCTAATGCTACCTGATTTACCTCCTAAACACTCATCGGTCATTCTAGTTGAGGTTTTGAAACTCCCTAAAGATATCAATCCTAATTTCTCCTTTTTCCTCACTCGTCCCGCTACTCTCCTCTACTAAGGTCCACATTACTCACAGACAATGAAATGATAATTAGAAATGATAATTCTTGACTGCGAGTCTTCAGCTTTGTTTGCATCTTTCTCGTCCCACTTGGTGGACATTTCCAACTTCTCCCCACTATCTTCGTGACATCGGGGTGGGTCTACTGAGTGATCCGGCAGAGTCGGCTAGAGGTGAAAATGAACGACACAAAAGAAAATTTAAGTCAAAACATCCCTGTGCCGATTCTAACTGCATGCTGTTTAAGTATAAAACCGTGAAGTCCAATATTTCGGCACGTGTGGGTGTCCAGCCCAAGAGTGAGTGCTTTTCGCTGCAATTTTTTATAGCTAGTAGAGTCAAATCCTTTGCATGCAAGTATTTTATGCTGTACCCGACACATCTGGTGATTAGGTGCTGTTACCACGTGATTGCAATTCATTTGTGTAATCAAAGTTCGGTACTAAGAGTTAAAAAAAACAATGCCGGGTGTACCGTGGCGAGGGGGCGTTCCCCAAGTACACATAAAAAGCTCTTTTGTGACCATCACGTAATTACCACTCGCTAGTCAATGTTACGTACTTCTGATAATAAAACTTCACCATTCCTGAGGAATTCTGGAAAAGTTTGCCTAAGTTGGGGAGATAAATTATTAGCCAGCGAAATAACATGGATGTGTTTCTGCAAAACACACTACAAGAGTTCGATTAAACGGTCGGCCACTTGATCTCGGTGATGCGATAGGTAAACAGCGAGATATTACTGTTCGCTGTATGGAGTATACTGTTGGCGATTATTCTGCGTGTTGGTGCGCACATCAGGAGTTGTGAAATCCGTTACAATTTATACGTCGAATGTAACGCGCAACTTTGTTTTGTGCAAAAGGAAAATGTGAGTCAGTTCCCCTACGGTTTCCGAAAACCACACGGTAATTTTGACAGCGAATCGCGGGCGTGAAAGCTTCCATTGTTAGATATTGGGTGGAAAGCATTGGTGTTTAATGAAAGAGGCGATAAACAGGATGCGCACATCATCCGCAGGCGTCGACTTGTAAGCTGCCGACATCCGCCACCACCAACAAACTACTTAAAACGATCCACAGAAGCAGATTTTGAAGCGGTATTCACCGTCGCAATCGAAATGCCAAAAAGAGGTTTGTATTCACGGGATCTATTCGTTACCAACATCAGGAAAGTAAGCCCCACGATCAGACTGCCGCAAGTATTAATCTTTGACGTGAGCACCGAATGAAACCGATTTTCATAAGCAAACGGGCGGCCTAAGCTGTATAAACTTATTAGAAAAACTGGTACGATCCAAGCAGCGGATGTTGATCCGGCTGCAGTGACTCGTCTTGCTAACGAAAATCAGTACCGTGGAAATTCCATGAAGTTCGCACAAGTAGAGTTAACAGAAGAGAGGCCAGAGGAACGCACTTCATAACCATCAATTTGAGGAGCCAAAATTCGGAGAACAAATGGGAATACGTTAAAGAATTCCTAACAAAACATATCGCATATGATGCATAACGGCTCATATGACCTAGTACATAGCTCTCCTAATGTGGGACAATAAGCACCAACCTGACTCAGTTTCTTAGGGAGTTCCCTCGTATTTTATTGATAAGCTATCGACTATCAGCACTGGAACTGCGTCCAGCTAGTTGCATGCGGCACACCAAAACCTGGTTCGATCAACGTAATCGCGATTCTAGTGCAAATGCCGTTCCAATGCTGAACATCAGTTCACTCGATGTCTTCGTGAAGTATGAAGAACGTTTCGCAAGCGCCAGTGGTCAAATATGAGTTACCTCTCAATGGCCTCAAAAGGCACAGAGTGACAAGACGTACTCTAGCTCTGTACACCCTGCTCTCAACTGATAAAATAATACCCCACTGCCTCGATAGAAGACTTTTATGAAAAGTAACTCGAATCTTATTAACGTACACAGTAACCTACTCAGTGATACCGTGGTAGACTACGAGTAAGCAACATGGCACAAACAAGAAAACAAGAACGGAAAACCGTGGACCAATACAAATGCTTGCTATGAAATGCAGGGATGGACAAACGGAAGTGGTAAATTCAAGTTCTTCGGAACGGAGGGAAGCATGATGTGCGCGCTGCATTAACGAGTAGGGCCCGATATCCTCTATGGATGTTCGCCGTTGCAATAAACAACTTGTCTGCACTAATTAGGTTCTCCACAACAGGTACCGTGGCCTTCCCAAGAAAGAAAATGAAGATCCACTGACCGAAGCCGTTGGAAGGGGGAATATTCGGAGCCTCCTGGAGAACTTCAAGATGATCGGATGAAGCTGACAGCTTTGCAAAGCCTTCTCAAGGGCACGATAAATGCGGCCCTACCTGCGGCACGGAAGGACCCTAATCGAAATAGAATAGACGCCGTGAAGGGGACGCGCCTCGCTCAAGTTGAGAGAAGGGCAACAAGAGTATGCCGGCACATCGTGCCAAAACTTCGCTACCACACGACCACAGCGATTGCGTGCGGCTTAGGGATGTCGTGAGGTAACCCATACTCACACAGGCTCGAACCGGCGGCTGGATTAGACAGCCCATTGGACGATCGAGGAACCGCTGCGGTTTAAAGCGATCTGACTTGGAATAGTGACAGGTCGCCTCGTGTTTATGGCCTGCATGCGGAGCTTAGTGGACCGCGCGCCGCCGGAACGGGACAACACCTCAGGTTAGCAATTATTGGTGGTCATTTTCTTGGAAGTCTGTTCCGGACGATTGTGGAGTGGGTTTCGACTGTGAACACCACACAGGGGAAAGGGTGGAAAAGCCTACGCAAGTGACCCGTGAGTTGGCGGATGCACCAATTGCTACCTGGAAACGGAATGGTGCAAAACTGGTAGACAGACAGAAAGGAATGTACCGTCCGGATTCCCTGCAGCACTGCCCTTAAGGATCGGCCATTTCGACTGATCAATCTCAGTAGTACCGCACTTTGAAATTGCTGGGGTCTGCAGAGTGCATGCTATGCGAGTGCGAACTGCTGCATTTCCGATATGGACAGTTGACTAGTTTAAAGTCATTAAGTAATAGTAATGAGGTGGTACCGCGTGGACGTTTCAAAACAGCAAAAGCAACCAGTATATATCTCTAGAAGAGAGTGTGGACCCACGGCGTTACATATGCATGCAATGGTTTGCAGTCCGCAAACACTGGATATGGGTGCGAAACTGGATTTCTCTCATATTCTGGCAGACGCTTGAAATAACTAGTAACGTGTAAGCGTAGTCACGAAATTTTGCTATGTTCACCTACAGATGGACACCCAACAAAGCGTTCAGGCGGTGCAAAGCACCAGCGCAGCCAATGCCTGTGTATTAAAAGCGCACAAGACGCGTCCGCCACGTCTGTTTTAGTACTGGGGGTAAAGGGCAGCACTGAGATAACATCATCTTTGATAACGCGGGTAAACATGAATACACTTGGTGTTAATGGGAAGAGTTACGCAGTGAACAGGGATCGGAAAACATGTTTAAGGTTAGAGCAGACTATGGTGCTGTGAAAGCTTGTTGCCAATAAATGATTCTAATGATCATGATCGACTACGTTCTGTATGCTTTTTCCAGAGTAGATAAGCTGTGAATGACTGTATGACGAATCCAGAGCACGCGGACGATATAAGTATTTTTCCCTGAGAGCGATCATAAAGAAAAATATAACTATAAAACTGAACCGATACACCGTTGGTCCTTAGTACCGTTGAATAATAAAGTGATCGCAAGTGAACATATCGAAGTACTTATATCCTGTCTGCAAGTCAAATCACCGGGGGGAAGTGCGGCACGCACTGATACGATGAGGTAACACGAACTAATTGTTGAAAGGAAGGGCTTGAGACGCCGCCGTGCAGCCAGTTATTGTGTAAATCAGACGTAGACATTGTGCACTGAGGATACCGAGAAACCGGCCATACTTAACAACTGGTGCGAGCGTAATATTGCCCTTACACAATGAGAACAATGAATCAGTGTTACTGTGGTCTGTCGGATGGCCTTTCTGTGTCCTTTTAATGATGTGTGGTGCTTATCTCATGCCAGCTGACCGACTGCTTCGAAGTTGCATGGAAACCGAGATGATATGGCAAAAAGACAACTGAACGTCCTCACAGAAATGTGGAGCATAAGTAGTGTGTGATATCTCCCTGGATTGGGGCATTTGGATAGGCCCACATCATGGGTTAGATACCGTATAGGATATAACATGATCGCGAAATCGGTGCTACTTTTACTCCTTGTTAGTGCCCTTGTAAATCGATAATCGTCTTTTCCCCCACGAATTTGTGCCTGCTAGCTTATCTGTGTTCTGTTGCTGTCTGACAATTCCACCTCATTATTCCAGTCATGACACCTGCATTCACCATCCTTCAGTGATCGGACAACAGTTGGTTGAGTAAATTGGACTGAACTGCCTAGAGACGCGTACAAGACAAAAGTACCGATGGACAACTAGTGCAGGAGTTGGTGTTCGACCAAATGCAGTGAAAAGACAACTGTTAAAGAGACAGGAAGTAAATTTGAGCGCTGAAAACAAGCGAATAGGGGTCATGATAAGAACGAGGAAAGTGCGTCGCGTTATGGATAAGTCATACCGACAGTCTGTCCTCGACCATCTCCGCTGTCTCGTCCACGACATTCGTATCGGCATCTGCCAATTGGTCCGAGGTCACACCTAAGTCCGAGTCTTCGATAACAATTGCTGAAGACTGGGATGATTGTTCAAATTGCTCCTCCGAATGCTGTTGGAAAATGCCTGATCTGACAAGAATCTGAAAAAAAGATGAAACAAGGTAAGTGCAATATGATGTATGGTGTCAATTCTAATGCTGAAACATGTGTAGGATTTACTTGGTATGAAGGGCAATAGGCAGGGCATAGTAGATGGGTGGGTGTACCAAGAGCGGAAATTTGTTGACCATGCATGCGGATTCGACACCTTGATTGATAAGGTAATTCCAACTTATAGTAGCTAAAAATAACGACTGTCGTTCAAACGATCGATTGCACTGAAACGCATTTTTGCAACGGATACATAGTTGACATAAAAATAGACCCTCGATCCGGCCATCGATCAGTCTTGCGGTCGTTGTACTCAACGCTAAGGTGGCTGGCGGGAAACAACGAAGACGACAGCTCTCATCGCATTGGACGCAGTTGTTGGGCAAATGTTGCTGAATAAGTTAACTCATAAGGATGCACGCTTCAGCATGTGGTCAGTACAAGCAAAGTACATTCACAAGGCTGGGCCGACACACAAGCAAAGTTTAAGGCCCAAAATAACCGATCGAAGTGCTTGAGTAGCTGCGCCCCTGGGAGCATCGGTAAAGACCACGTGGTTTTTCAAAAATCCCCATACTTAATGGGGCAGTAGGATGAGCTTAGTGATTAAGGAGAAAGTGCATAACGTTGAGATGAGGCCTGTGCCACCGTAGCGACCAGAGATCTAGTCGCTGCGCGCTAACGAGAGAAATAAGTTAGCCGTGTTTGACCACTGGTAACTGCGAAGCACTGGCTACGTTTAGTGGTAGTGGCGCCTCGAAAGACCCTCTGGTGTCTGTCGGACCACTTGCACTAGACAGACAGGCCATGCTCTCTAGGTGCTCAAAAGCAGGTTTCTCAGTTGGATGGAATTTCGAGGTGGCTAGCCAGTGTCATGACAAAAAAGCATGAAGACGGATTGAAGAACCAAATAAGGTTGGTGCTTATCGTCTTTTTGAACAGGAACTCGGGGATCAATGCCATAAGTAGAACGAGACGCAGTATCAAACTCAACAGGCCTTATACAGCCATTCTTCTGTTTGCAGATGACTTACAGGTGTGGAGAGTAATCCGAACACCCAATGATTGTGATTTGCTTCAGCGAGACCTCGACCGCCTCTCCACGTGGTCTGTAGAGGTCAACCTTCCGATCAACCCGGTCAAGTCACAATTCATGAGGCTGGGTAAGTGCTGGCACAGTCGAACATACACGGTGGCTGGTCAACAGTTGCATCCCGCGCCTTTTGTGCGCGATTTCGGTGTACTCTCACGCTACGACCTAAAGTCCATGGACAACACGAATAGGCTGTACCAAAACAGCCTTCATATGCTTTGGGCGTTCAGGCGCAGCTTCAGCACTTGGTCCGAAGAGATTGCCACTCGCCTCTTCGTCCCAATAATACAACCAATGCTAGAGTATGGCTCTCCCGCGTATTGTCCTATTACCCGGGGCGAGGTAGAAAAGCTTGAGCGAGTGCAGCAGGTAGCCACCAGGCTGATTCCCAACTTACGTGGTGTGTCATACGAAGACCGGTGTAAGAAACTAGGGCTGTACACCCTAGCTTATCGTCGAATGCGAGTTGACCTAAACATGTCTCACCGGATATTAAATGTGTAAAAAAATGTGTCAGCTTATACGCCGTAACGGCGCTTCGCTGCCGCGCGACCACCACCAGTCGCGCGCGGGCTGAGTATACCGCGAGGACGCCCACCCCTACGCGGATTCGAACCGGTGACCTTATGGTTGCAAAGCAAAAGTGCAGACCACTCGGCCACCGGATATTACATCTGGGTGATTACCCCATGTTGAGACCGCTGCTTCATTTGCGCAAACCAAGCAGCACACGAGGACACCGGTATAAGCTTGTCGTACTGGATTTGAAACGGGTCAATCACCAACTCTGTTTCGAACCTAGAGTGGTGAATGTATGGAACGACTTTCCACAGCACGTAGTAAAGGCAAACTCAGTGTCGGAATTTAAGGATTTCCTGGACAAACACTTTGACGACGCAAAATATATAGAGCGGAACACAATATAACGGGTAACTGTCCATGAGTGACGACCGATGCAGGTACACAGAGCAAGCTCTACTCGCTGCTTCTAACCAGTATTCAATCCGGTGTCATTAATTCTTCTCTACCCCCTTGGATTATCATTGCTTGGATTACCACTATTGTTTACCTTGGTAGTGTGAGCCAAGCAATCAAGGACTGTTTTTACCAAAAATTACATGAGCGTCTGCGTGCCTCAAAAAGTCTGACATTGTCACTCTTGCCGGAGATTTTAACGCACGAGTGGGCCGCCTGCCACCAAGCGAGCACCATCTTAGGGGTAGTTTTGGCTTCGGTAGCAGTCTATCAGACAATGAGACAGGCTATTTACTCTTTGTTCTGGTCATCGCTTGTTTCTTTCGAGCACCAGCATTCGGCATTCGAAAAGAATGACTGTTACATAGCGTCCGCCTTCTCAAACGCAAGTGGTCCCAGTTTGACCAGAGCAATAAGCTACAGATTGCGCGGAAGCGTAACAGACTGCCGATCGTACCGGTCAACCTGTCTGGACTCCGATCACGCATTGGTTCGCGCCAAGGTCTGCATGCGCTTCGGAGGATCGCCAGGACGTACGCACTACCGACCGAACGACGAAAATCTGCAACCTCCTGTGACGTTAGCTAAGTACCGGACTACTCTCAACACTGCTTGCTTCATCCTCTGACGATGGTCTCAATTCTCAATGGGTGCGTATCAAAGACGCCTTAATTTCTGTCAGTACTGTCAGTTGTGGAGTTGTTTACCGCCCGTCGAAAAACTGGATCACCAATGCCTCCTTGTTGCTGATAGACAGACGCCGCTTGATCCCAGCCGACAATAGCTGTAGTGAGGAAAGCCGATCCTTGGATCGATCGTTGCGAAGGAGCTTACAGAACAACCGAGAGATCTGGTCGTGTGAACGTGCTAAAGAGATGGAACTTGCTAATCTCTCTGGTAATACCAGAAAACTGCTCCACCTCATCCGAGGGCTTCCGATCTGTAGCAAGCGAAACAATCTGCGAAGTGGATGGCTCCCTAGTCACTAAACTTTAACGACGGTTGGAGCGATGGGTCGAACATTTCCGCTCGCAGTTTTCCTGGCCGCTAATTCCATCATATTCCCCTGGGACACGCACTGGTGCTGATTGGCCTATCCCCACTGATCCTCCCCCTCATCGGGAAAACTGATGGGAACTGCTGCCTAAAACGTTATAAGGCAACCGGCCCTGATGGTCTACCGCCTGCTCTATGTAAGGATAGGGATTATTCGCTGGTTCGAGAATTCACTGCTACGTTCTCAGAAGTCTGGGCAAAAGAGGAGGTTCCATCATCTTGGAGTGAGTCGATAGTCGTCCCTATCTTCAAAAAGGACCTGCGCACAAATTTCTCCAAGTACAGGGGCATAAGCTCCGTTCTCGTGGTTTGCAAGATTCAGGTGTCTATGATTCTTCGCAGACTAACCCCAACACGTGAATCACGACAGCGAGAAGAACAAGATGAGTTCCGCTCTGGTTACGGCTGCATTGATCAGATTTTCACACTCCGCCAGATTCTCGAGCTCCGCCATGTGTATCAAAAGCCAACGATTATTGTGTTCCTGGAGATCCGTGCTGCCTTCGATTCTGTCGACAGGGCTGCATTGTGGCACTGTCTGTTGAGGAATGGTATTCCGGGGAAGTACGTTTCCGTACTGCGTGCACTGTATAGCCTGGCCTCGGGTAGATTTAGAGCGTATGACATGCTTTCGCCTTCCTTTGTTGTCACCAGTGGGGTTCGACAAGGATGCTTTATTTCCCCATTCATCTTCAACTTTGCCATTGCACTAGAATACTTGTTGAATGCTGGTGTTGAGCTTCTCCCAGGTAGTTGGGTAGTTGATTTGGATTATGCTGATATATCGTGTTGTTGGGTGGCAGTCCGCAGGCCGTCCAACTTGTACTCAACCGCCTGGCGATTGAAGCGTCAAGGTATGGCATGCACTTTTCCCAATCCAAGTGCAAAGCGCTTTCTCAAAACTGGCATAAGCCTTTACCTGCACTTACCATCGATGGTGAGACGCTAGAAGTTGTACAGAGTTTTGTCTACCTGGGAAGCTCCATGACTGCTGGTGGGGCTGTTGGAAAGGAGATTTCGATGCACATCTCAAGATCGCGTCTGGACTTCTTCAGACTGAGGCATTTATGGCGCCGCCATGACATCCGTCTCTCCATCAAAGGGCAAGTTTATAGTGCGACCGTCCGCGCTATACTGTTGTACATTTACGAGACTTGGCCTGCTCGTACCGATGACCTGCGCCGACTGCGGAGGCTGCCAGTGAGGTTTCTTGAAGAGTTTTGACTCTTACGAAATGAACGATGGATGCTATCAGGTTTTCTAAGTGAAGCATATCGTAGGGGGCAAAAAGCAAATGAAACTCACCATAACTAGACATACACAGACATCTGTAGGGTGACTGCATTGTCCATAGGGGTTCACGTATTCCTTATGAGCGCCTCTAAGTGTCCATGAAGAGTACCAATGATATAGTTCAGCTGAAGGATTCAGTTCGCGAAACCATTGCACGGCAATAACGTGCACATAGCACAATAAGCTGTTTAGCCAGAACGGTTTCTAATTATTAATCGAACCTACGTGTTTAGAAAGTGAGTACAAAACGAACCGATAAGTGTGGGTAAACAGAACAGGTACCTCGTGAAGTGATTTCATATGTACAGTGTGTCCGAAGTCAACGTCATCCATGGGTGTCGTTATGTCCATTAGAATAGGCTCATCCTCCTCTTCGTCGTCAGAAGATGTAGGTGTTTGTGAGGTCGAGACGACTGATTTCACAAAACCTGGACATTGATCATCGTGTGTCAAGGGAGATGGAGTGTGTTTGGAAAACTTAGAGAGAGGTGTGTGAGCTGGCATAGGCTGACGAAGGAACCGTGCGTTGACTGGCGTGGACCCAGGAAGTTGAACCATGAAACTAGTCGAGAAAGATTTATCGCACGTCCCTGAGGAGGGTGTAGAACGAACGCGAATTGAATCGGAAGACCCAGATTGGAGAACATTGCCGCTCTTGGAAGTCTCCGAGATCAACTGACACTCAGGGAACAAATGGACTGCATTGTTAGCCGACTCGCAGATGAATGAATCTGCTGACTTAGCATCAGTGACAGAGCCCGATAACACCTCGGAGCTTGCGGAGTTCCCACGAGTGCCACCATTACCGGTATTTCCTGATTTCACCGGGTCATCAGGATCGAAATTATCTGACGTATGTTGCTGTGATATGCTGATTTCTCGAAGGCTTGCGGCCAGTTGGTTGTCAACGAGATCTTCTGTATCAGAAATAAGCACCGGGCTATTGATGTGTTTTGGAGGACTGGGATACTGAGCACCGGGGCCCAAGGGCAGACGATTTAACATGGGGCGTTTGGAGTCCGCATGTGATGGAATCGAAATTGCCGCAAAAGTGGGTAATCGAAAGATGCGTTCATCATGCACGTGAATATTGGCAAGATCACGAGTAAGTGGACCTGTGGCAATTGCACACTCCTGTGCAATAGCATACTCAGCTGCTCTCATGCGATTCTGATACAATTCGTGATCATTACTAGCGAGTTCATTGGACTGCTCGATCGGCTCGACCCGAGTGAACATGAGATCATGAAAAGAAAGACCGAACACAGTGTCCTGAAAAGTTCCGCCAGTGAGAAGAGTCAGATGTGGACGGAGAACCTCGTCAGACCATTTGTCTGTATCAGGATGGAGAGCTGCCAGCTGCTGTTGCGTTTTTGAGACACGGGAATCGCCAAGAGTGAACAATTCACGCAAATCTTGGTGAGTAAAATAACGGTAAGGGTCGTTGTCAGACTTGTTTCTCCCCGTGCCGGTGGTTTGACGCACGACGGAATCCTTGAACACCTGACGACGGTATATTTTCTCCTCGACTGTACCACACGTTATCAGGCGGTACACAATCACATTGGACTTCTGACCGATGCGGTAAGCTCTATCCACTGCCTGCGCATCGGTGGCCGGATTCCAACTTGGGTCTAGGAGAATGACGCGATTTGCTGCGGTCAAAGTCAAACCCACACCGCCGACCTAGGAACAAAGAAAAGAAGGAATATAATCGGGTGACCTATATCGAACTGGGAGCAAGAAACAGTAAACCATGAAATGAAGAAACGAAGAAACACTGGAAATGAGTGACCCCTAATGGAAAACAAGTGTAAGGCCAGTACTAAGACTTTCTCCTTTAGCTCCGTCCGGTCGTTGGTTATTGTCATCATCATAATACACGCCAACTAAAGATGGGAAGCACTTCAACTATGGAGTCACAAGAAAGTCACACCAGCTGAGCCACTAGTAATGGAAGAATATCGTTCCGGAGAGATAGCAACAGCCTATTATGCTGCAAAAATGTTACGTATAAGAAATGAGATCGTGGTTGGAGGGGGAAGATAAGCGGGGTTGGGAAGGACAAAGAAACTCACAACACAAACGCCACTGAGGTCGCCTCATTACCATGTCAACAAGTATATCCAGCCAAACGTGTTCATTGCCTTTTGTGCTCTAACAGGGGAGCCGAGGATCCAACTGAGGCCAAATTCGAAGTGAGGGTTTTTATTCCTCTTGACCAAGTCATCGCTTAGCCACCCCTCTTCTTACATCCAGATCTCGGTCGCGCAAACAACGCACGTCACGGGAGTTGTTGGCTGGCATGCACAACACGTGGCCAAGCCATCGGAGTCCGATTCATGATATAACAGTGCCATAAACAAAACGCCGAACACGCTAATTGCTCACACGGTGTTCCCATCAGGTATGAGCTAAACTGCAAAGGCACCTGTGCTCGAAGGTAACTAGCTTCTTTACGTGTGCTGGTCTGATAAATCGTTTCATAACCGTATAGTAGGGTCGAAAGTACGGCTGCGATGTACACTGTGACTTTCAGGGAGTGATGTCGAACCAGCGCCATAGGCGGCGAAGGTAAGTAAAAGCGCCTTGATCTATTGCTATACAGTTCGTGACCTCGTCTTCGAATCTACAGGCGCTGATACAACTGCCTAGATAGTTGAATTTCCGAACGAATTCCAGCTGATCCCTACCAAGGGTCAGCGCAGAAGGCGGTCGCTGCCAATCATGGAGGAAGGTATTGCAGTTTGAGAGTGCAAGGCAAAGTCCGAAACAGCTGACAGTTAGTGCTAATCAGTCTAGCGCTGTTCGGCAGTTTGAAAGCTATAACAAATAATGGTAGTATCAGCATACTCTAAATCAAAAATTCGTTCACCTGGGAGCAGCTCCACACATTTAAGTCGTGTACAGTGAACGTGATTTCGATGACTTCGTCAATAGCTAAGTTGAAGAGGAAATTTGACAGCAGGCATCCCTGTCTTACATCGCCGGGGATATTGAAGGGCGGCGACAGTTTGTCGTGAGCCCTCATTCTGTCCGAGCTAAGCGCGTAAAGCGCTCGTATAATATTTATATATTTCTCGGGTACACTTTTAATTAGCATACAGTTTCAGAGAAAATATCGATTCACCGCATTTTAGGTAGCTTTGATGTCGAAGAATCCGACATCGGGGAACGGCTAATATATGTGACGGTGCTCATACTGGCTGGCTTGTTCAAAGCATCGAATATTGTGGGCAGATTGAAAAAAATCCAGCGAGTAAACCTCATGCCGCTAGAGTGAAAAGCGACAGAATGTAACAAAATGGTTAATCGAAGAATCTGGAAAAGGAATAATAAATTTCAGACGATCGTGCCTGAGTGAAAAAAGCTGTTAAGGTCCGATGCAACCATTCGCTTAGCTCACTGACGAGGGCGATAGGCACTAAACCGATGTAGCCTTTCAAGTAGTAGTACATTCGTTTTCGATGCGTAGCGTCGCTTATCAGAACGAAATATCGAAAAACAAGATACAGTGAGGCAACTGATTTACAGACGTACGATTTGAAGTTCATACACAAAATCTAATTGGCCCAGACTTAACGAGTTCTGTCCCAGCGCGTTTTACTTGCGAAAAACATCCGCACCAAGCCATACAATCAGTGGGGTGTGAGACTTGTATCTGCATGCTGAGTAGAATTTGCGGCATAGAGATTAAAAATTAGTGTTAATACTTGTGGTTAAGTGTAACGCCCAGCGATGACTAAGTTGTGCGTGTCGCTTTGTCGGACAAAGGACACGGATTCGACCGCATCAGCGGTTAGAAGCCCTACACCTGAATGAGTGTGGCGTTTCGATCTGACATCGCTACTATCGTGGCTCCTAAATTCACCCTGTTAATTTTCACTTCTGTATCGAGGCGATATACGGCAGTTCGATCCACACCTTGTGTACAAGGCATCAGTAATGTCGGTAGTAACGTCAACTCACGAAATTTTCCGCATTATTTACGGATAAGACGGTATCAGTGAGAGTTATCGCGCCATCATACATATACTCAAGCTTACTATAGAGATGTTCCGGTTAGCCGGTAGCCTAAAAGACAGCGACAACGCCAAATACAGTAGCTTCGGGAACCTCCGGATAGGCACAAGATGAGTCACCTAAAAATCACCAATAAGTGTAAAACGAATCAACAGCTCTCATCCTATCAACCCTAAGTATCGTTTCTAGTAAAGAAGTCAGTGCTTTAGCCTGTATACATTACGCCACTCTGCGTTAAGCAGAAGTGAAGCGGTTACGGAGCAGGTGGACACTACAGGTTGCCCATGATACGTCTCGAACTTGTTTATGTCTCGGGGTTGTCTGCACAGGTAAAATGAGCGAGTGCGTTTCTCTGAAGAGTTCAAGACCAGAGTGATTCCTAGATGAGATGTTCATGCGTCTGCATTGGGAACCATCATCGACAACAGCAATACATCAGTAAGTTGAACTAACATTTCTCTGCTGTACAACCACAATGACCCAAAGAATGAAGAATAATGTAGGAGGGACTTACTGCCTAAATGCTGTAAGCAAACATCTAAGTGGTCCCAAGCAGTCATGGTGCGAAGGCCAGCCGGCGCTAACGAGATAGCGTTCTTGTGGCTTTTATTGTCCACAGATAACTCAGCATTAGGGAAGGAGGGATTTCATTTTTGGCTCGAAGAAGGGAATTCCTGCCTGTACAGCCAATCGACTCCAACGATGGGCACTCACCTTGCTGGGCTATGATTTTGAAAGCCGTTATCAGTCAACGAATTCGCTGGGCCAAGCAGATGCGTTATCACGCCTCATGGATTCCCAGCAGCAAGAACACGAGGACACCATCATTGCCTCAGTTGAGATCGAACCTGATGTCAAATTCCTGGTGAGCGAGGCACTACATGGTATGCCAGTTACGGCCGATGCTGTGCGGACCGAAACTCTTCGAGACCCAATCCTAAAGAAGGTGACACACTTCCACAGAATCAGCTGGCCACGTCCGTGTTCATCTGCCGAAATGAAGCAGTTCTATCAGCGAAGACATTCGCTTTCCATTGTGGACGACTGCATCATGTTTTTAGAGAGAGTAGACATCCCGCAGGCGTTGTAAGAAAGAGTGCTGCGACAGTTCCACGCAGGACATCCAGGACTCAACCGAATGAAAGCGCTTGACAGAATTTATGTGTATTGGCCGTTTATGGACAGACAGCTGGGGCAGCTAGCTAGAAGTTGTGGCAACTGCGCTACCGCCTCAAGGGCACCGCCGAAGACTGAACTCCATTCGTGGCCTAAACCAACTAAAACTTGGAGCCGTGTTCATGTCGACTTTGCAGGCCCAATCAATGGCCAGAACTTTCTCATAGTGATCGACGCTTATGGCAAGTGGCCCGAAGTGTTCCTCATGAGAAGCACGAAAACCAGCGTCATTTACGACGTGCTGGTTGAAATGCACGTATGGGTACGCCATGCAAACCAACTGCGACCAACAATGTATCGGCCACAAGCAACAGAATCCGCCGAACTTCCAGTTGACCTGTTAACAGACAGCTTCAACTTGCCTAAACAGCAAGTAAAGAATCCTGTCATCAGACGAATGGTACCAGACCGCAGAGCACGGAATCCGAATCCAGAACACTACAGCCAAGGCGATGGACCGGTAGGAGAACAGCTTTCAGGAGGCTTCAGGTCAATCCCAGGCTAGCATCATACACAACGGCAGCTGTTTCAGGAGGGGAGGTATCCGGGAATCAGATAAAAACATAAAGGAAAAGGCTATGGAACTTGCAACACACGAACTACGAAAGAAAAGAAAAAAGGAAAGTATGTAATGGTGACTGAAAGCTGGGCTGAAGGGAATCGCCTACCCCGTGCGTTTTCAAACACCCAGCTATTTGTACTTTTGCCTCAGAGTTGAGAGTACAGTGTTTTGGTGGCATGATCTGGCTACGTTGGCAGCATTTTGTTAACACGTTTTCCGTGTGCAAGGTTGTTGGAATTTTGATTTTTCTTCGGCTGGGCTAGGATTTTTGCGGAGAAATTTTTGGGTAGTTAATTCGGAATAGCGAGAAAAAGTGAAGATCTAACAGGAAATTCGACAGCAGAAGCGCTACTGGTTCCAACTACGAGTCATGTACTCTGAAGTCTGCATGCAAGCACAGGTTAGATCGCGTGGGATCTGGCCCAGAAGGCGAGACAGAGGAAAAAGACCCAGTCTATTGGTTAGCGATTCCATTCCACGTTATCAAGTCAACTTCTACCTATCTCAAACCTTGCGCTATTCGACATCCGACACACAAAAGAAGGAAAGCAATTGATCGAAGGAGGGATTTCAGTGTGCCCGCTGGTGTAGTGGGTAGCGCGCAGTATCCGTTTCAAAGGCCAAAGTCATTCATGCCACGAGCGCTACCGGTTAGAAGAGCACAGTAACTGGCCTGTAAGGTGGTATACACTCGGACACATTGGAAGGTGAAATAAGTTGACCACTCATCATTGTCATCACCAATACAGGTTAGCTGAGAGCGAAGAACGCACCCGAGCAAATGTGCCACAATACAAATAGATACTAAATGAAATACACTACAAAGAATTTGTAAAGTAATATAATGATAAAAATTATATTGTGTATCTCGCATGAGATCATCTAAAAGGGAGGGGATGGACAGAAATTCACAACAGAAAAGCCA